ACCTTGAATTTTGAAGAAATTAAAAGTCATTAAAAGACACCTAAGAAGTCGGGAAAGCTCATTTCCCGCCACCTAGAAATAGAAATTTTCCCGTGAAAGAACCACAGGACCCCCCCCCCCTTTCTTTTTGGGATTTATCAATTCATGGAAAAAAATACGTATGCAACTTGCTCAAACTTTGTTTATGTTTGTACACATAAGGCCTATTTACTGTAACAACAATGGGAAAAAATTATTACCTTTAATTTTAAAGAACTTAAAGTCGGGAAAGCTCATTTCCAACCATTTAGAAATCAACATTTTCTGGAGAAGAACCTGAACCTCCCTTTTCTCTTTGGGTTCACTGATTCATTATAATAATTTTCAAGGGGGAAAAACCTTAAATTTTGAAGAATTTATAGTAATTAAAAGACACCTCAGAAGTCGGGAAAACTAATTTCCCGCCTTCTAGGAATCAAAATTTTTGGAATTCACCGATTCATGGAGAATTCGTATGCAACTACTCATTTTTTTTAAATTTTTATGTATGTATACACACATAAGGCCTATTTACTGAATAACAATGGTAAAAAATTACCTGACCGTTTTCGAAAGGGAAAAACCTTGAATTTTGAAGAACTTAAAAGTAATTAAAAGACACCCCAGAAGTCGGGAAAGCTCATTTTTTCCCGGGGGAGGACCCCCGGACCCCCCATTCTTTTTGTGATTCACCGATTCATCGAAAATTCGTATGCAACTAGGCCTACTCATTTTTTAAAAATGTTATGTGTGTATAAGGCCTTTACTGTAATAACAATGGGAACAATTAAATTACCTGACCGTTTTTAAGAGGGGAAACCTTGAATTTTGAAAAACTTAAAAGTAATTAAGACACCCCAGTAGTCGGGGAAAAGCTCATTTTCCGTCATCTAGGATTCACCCCCCACCCCACTCCTTTTCTTTGGAGCTTACCGATTCATTGAAAAAAGAACACGATATGCAACTACTCATTTTCTTAAGGTATACACACATAACAGGCCTATTTACTGTAATGAGAAAGTTTACCTTACCGTTTTCAAGAGGGGGAAATCCTTGAATTTTGAAGAACAAAGTCATTAGAAGAGGCCTGTCCAAATGGAGGGAAAATGTCCCCCCCCCCCTCCGCCGGCGCCACCACTTCCCCTCACTCGTTGTTGATAAAAATGAACATCAATGAAATCACCAAGAATCCAACACCAAAAAAAAAAAAAGCAGCACAGCACCTAATTATACATAGGCCTAAAGTAAGATAAACACTTCTCTTGATCAGCCACATGGTAAGGACTCTCCACTTCTCCCTCCTCCACTACCCGGGGGCCGCCTTTCACAGACTCCCGATGTTGTCGTCAGTACCATGCGGCATTGCATCAGTGCCCATTCTATAAGAAGGGCCGATCCAGAATTTTTCGTTGGGGATGAGGCTATAAAAAATTCAGACGGTTTAAATATCGTGGGTGTGGTTGATATATTTAGGCCAATAACTTTATTTTAGCTTCATAAAAACATGCATACTAGTTAAATGAATAAATGTACTTTACTTTCCTCAAAGCTTCCCCAATAATACTATACCATTAATTGAATACTGTTCAAATTTTAACGTTCTTCAATTCATCCAAGATGCATTATACGAGATTAAAGCAATGGTAGCGACTGTCTCTTATACACATCTAGATGTGTATAAGAGACAGGGGCCTAGGCCCGTAGGGGAGAGCTTGAACGTCAGAGGAAAAAACCAAACAATTCGTCAGGGAGAAAACAAATCACATGTATTTCCTACATAATTCGTAGACTATAAAATCGATTAAATAATCCTTTGAAACCACTTTCAAAACATTTTGGGCGACGCCCGACCACGCCCACCTTGATCTCAGCCTCCATGCTGGGTACCTCGGATCCTGGGGCCAACCCTGGATTAAAGTCGACAAACAGAAAGAAGAAGACGGATGACTTTTGTTTATTAAAATACTGTACGTGAATTTATTGTGGTAGACCATTATTCACGATGTCGCTAAATACCATTCAAAACATTATCACATTACTTCTATTGGAAGGCTTGCACTGTAAATCATGAAAGACTGACTCATGGTAGCACAGAGAATGATTCAGAGCACATGATAATAATAATAATGATAATAATGATGGTAGACTTATATGATAAGCCCTCTATGCACTTCACATTATCATTACACGGTCATTGTTTTAAACGCCGATATGACAACTTGTAAATAATGGCAAACATGAGTACACAGGAAGCAACACTTATACCAATTGTGTACTTTACTGCTTTACAATTTAAAACATGATGGTAGAAAAAAGATACTTTTACTTCAAATTATAATACAATACTGTAACCATTACTAATAACAACACTCAATTAAGAATAATTTAAACGATGTCATCTATTGTTTAAATGTATACAAACAGTGAGTGAACAACTTTACAAATAATTAACATGGTAGCACCTATACAACAAGATTATTGTATTACATTTTTTCAATAGAAATTTTAAAAGTCATAATATATATTTCCTGAAACCAACTCTAGTTATTTAGAATGTGCTTGGAATTACAATAAGTGTAACATGTATAATAAAATTATTAAATTAATAAATTGGTACCACTTTGATTAACTGGACTTAATGCGTTTAGTTGAATCCACTCACTTTTCAATTGAATTTTCTTGGGTGTTTGGCCTAATTAATTGATTTTTAATTCTATTTATTTGAAATCTGTTGACAATTGCTAATGAAAATATTAGAATTTAATTTGTTTTAATCATAACAATTATGAAGACACATTTGATAAATTGAATTAATATCATTCTTATCCATTTACGACTTTTAAAAACAAACTTAAGCATTATTTAGGATATCTTAAATACAGGGATGACAGAAGGGACTATTTAGCATTTCATTACCATGAATAACATTTCCATCTCATTTTTAAGAACACTACTTTTATAAAACCTCTTTTTCTTTAAATTGCTGTGACCATGAAACTGCATTATACATTTAACAAATATAAAATTATCAACACAAACAGCTGCCACAAACAAAATTTATATAATTGAATTGTATTTATATATTAGTACTATTGCTCATTTTGTTCTTGACTCTGTGCAGCAATCATCATTTCACTAAACGTACTGTTTTCATCGGAAAGGAGAGCTGACGGCTTGTCAAACTCAATAACCTGTAAAGAAAAGACGATAACATATAATTTTATACATATCACTACCATCATCACTGTCATTAGTCATCATCATCGTCACCTTTACCACAGCCAATGCCCTCACTGGCAGTGGAGGCTCCAGAAATTTGCCCTTTCGGTCCACCGTTGGCACCACTTCCATCCCCACATGAATACTTTTATCCTCACCATCACAATCATCATCCCTGTCATCACCACTTTCCAAATCACCATCTTAATTAAAACAATAAATACATACTTACCTTGCCATCACTACCATCACCCCTTATCATTTTTATCATCATTCATCATCATAACAATAATTATCATCATCATCATTATACTGTACTTAAAACACTAAATTTATAATTACCTTGCCATCACTTAGCACCATTATCTTGTCGCAGTCGAGGATAGTGTTGAGTCTGTGGGCTATAGTCAACATAGTGCAATCCTTAAATGATTCACGTATTGTTGCCTGGACTAAGTTATCAGTCTCTGTATCAATGGCAGCAGTTGCCTCATCAAGTATCAATATCTGGAAAAAGGGACAACAAACTACCGATATTAATATTACTAGAGCATGGAGACAATCAACTTAAGCTAGATTTACACTAGACAAGATAACGACACGACGACATATTATCGCATAGTTTGTATTCTTCAACACAGCGTACATCTGTATCCCAAAATGTGAAACTGAATGCATATTTCAATAAAAACCTAATAGAGATTTTTAGTATTTTAACGCACACAGTAAATTAATTTGCTTCCGTGGGAAGAGAGAGGTGAATCCACACCCCCTCCTTTACCTTCCAGCCAACGCTCATGTACAGCAGTGGTTCGGTTGTTTCTTTGTTCACTTCTTGATCCCAGGTTCTTAGTTTTAATCCTTATAATATACCTTTTTTTTTTCTCAAAACCGAACCATCTGAATATTCTTTACTGTTCAGTGTTAAAAATGTTTTCTTTCTGTAACACAATTTATATAGTTAGGAGGTGGACATATTGAGTTAATGACAATACTTTAATGACAATTAAATTTATTTCATCACCTATTTGTCATGAATCTTTGCTTAAAAAACATAATCACAACTGGTAAACCTGCTTCCAAACTCTTGGTAACAGACTTCTGAGTGTCCTAAATGATGAGCAGTTTGTTATGGATGAAATAATGCAAGTCCAGTATTACCTTACTGTTCCTTAATAAAGCTCTTGCCATACACAACAGCTGCCTCTCACCAACAGAGAAATTCTCACCATTTTCCACAACAGTTGACTGTAATTGCTTGTCTAAACCCTTAATCTGAAATAATCAATAATAATTAAATAAAACCATAATAATTAAACAAAAATAATAGATAACTGCTGCGAAGCAGCCAATTCATATTCTTGACAGCAATTTGACCTCTGAAAGGTCATTGTTTGTCAAAAAACAAGGGCCTAAGACGACTGAAAAGCGGAGTTTCCTTCTTTCATTCTGCCGGGTAAAATCAATTACTTTAGGCGACGTTTGTAGACTAACCAACACCAACGTCCCAACGTCCGCATGTCGCGCTAGCCTTATCCTACTCTATGCCTAGACTAGCTAGGATGGTATAGGCCTAGCCTTGAAGGGACAAAGGTCCCAATGAAAAACAACGTCGCTCCTTGATAGCTAACATTGTCTATTTAACATCACAACAATTCATTATTAGACCTATAGTTGTTTTTTGAATTGTACTCCACAAATCTCAGCCGATACCTCGCACATAACGTCTTCGTGACACATAACGTCTATTGTCGTGACGTCATGGCTCGCTGGCTCACACTTGTGATGTCTCGCACTTGTGATCAAATAACACGCTGGCTCGCACTTTGGCAACACTCTTTGGCAGTCAACTCGCCCCTAAAAAACCCGCCCTTGGAAACTTGCCCCATAAAAAAATGTACACTTACTAGACCATGCAGTCTTCAAAATAAAAATTGTTAACCTTTGGTAATCAACTACATTTTCCACATACATAGAAATTTTGAAACTTTATTAAAAAAAAACCTAAACCATAATTCACCACTATAGACACTTTTTGACAAAAATGAAAAATTACGACTTTGTTACCCAATGAGAAATGTTCTAATATAGACAATGGGTCGTGTCTCATATTATTTGTTATAGTTTAATTATTCATTATTTTCACTTGACTCGCAAAAATAATTTTGTTCGAAGAACATTTATATGCAGTTATACTTCGCAGCACTTCACTTGCAATTTGCAATTTCTAGTAATAATAATAATGTTTACATTTTAAACCCACAGAGGACAGCAGTAATCGGAATTGAACAAGAGATCAAGGTTATTTTGAGATCTCCATGGTTCAGCACACACAGAGTGGCTACCACCAGTTTAGTTGACTAAGCTAAATTGCACTAAATCCTGACAAAGCCTGTTACGATTTTTCCAACAACCAATAATAACACCTTTTGAGAAGGGTAACAAAGGGGGAAGTTATTGAGCATCAAGGGCCCACATGGTCAACTTTGCTAGATGGATTACCTTCACCAAATAAGGTATTAATAATTACTTACGGTATCTTTCATATAAGTCCTTTCAAGTGCACGCCATAGTTGTGCATCTGAGTATTGGCAAAAAGGATCAAGGTTATACCTATAAAAACAAGGATTGATTTACTGTCTTATGAATATCACACAATTCTAACAGATACCATTGTAGATAACTACTGTAAATTTTGAATTAAGAAAATAGACTTCTTTCTACAAACATTAGTAAAAGTAAAAAGTGTTTCTTCCTCTCATGCGTCCCTAGTACTCTGCTGTTATTAGATATTTTTCAAAAAAGTCTTTTGGGTATGTATTACATACAACAAAAAAAAGCATAATTTAATAGCATACCTTGTGTAAGTTTTTAGCAAACCTGGTGTAATCTATGACAAGCAAACCTATTGCATGACAGACTCAATATTTACTACAGTTCTGAATGTTCTAGAACTGTTTTTAGAAACCTACGTGATAGTCTACAATTCAAGGTTTTATATGAAGAATTCATTGTAAAAATGTTTTTATCTTTTCTTTTTTGTATCACATTTTTTTTTTATTTTTTAAGATTTCACAACAGATAGTACTGTATAACAATAAATAAATGATATGAGGTCATACTCGATTCAACTTTATATTATTTAAAAAAAATTTGTATACATTCCAAAAACCAATTAATCAATTAATCGCCACTTGCAGGCTTGTGAAAGAATATAACAGACACAAACAAGATTATAGAATATTTGAATAATAATTCATCTTACCTAATAGTTCCAACAAATAGCACAGGATCTTGCGGTATGATGGAAAGCTTAGAACGAAGATCTTCAAGACCAATTTTGGAGATATCAACATCATCAATGAATATACTGCCGGCAGATTTCTCCACCAGTCGAAATAAAGAAACCCCTATTGATGATTTACCTTGACAATAAAAACACATATTTAATTATGATTATTATAAAAATTTAACAATTAATATTGTTGGGCAGTTTTATGTTTTACTATGAACTGTAGTATAAGTATAAATCAATGACCTTCATAGAATTAGAATGATTCATTTGTTTTAGTTGTTTCTTTTATTGATGTATTCATTCACATATTTGGAGTGGCATGCACTGCCTCTTAGGGCCACTATCTTGGTCGAAGGCTCTGAGCACCCATTTGTCTACGGCAGGGAAAATTTGAAACCTGCTACTTTGTTCACGTCACCTAGGTAGAGGTCTGGGATTGCTCTAGAACAGATGCAGATGGTTTTGATGATTTACAGATGTCCTATTACAATTATCCTTAAATTGATTACCAGCCAATTTAAGGGTCTATGAAAAGAAAAAATGCAACAAAGGTATTGTTTATTAGTCCATTAGTTGATGAGGATAATTATTATGAATATATTGCATAAAAAACTCTAGCAGGCATCTTGTACAGGGACATGTTCCCTTTTTTTCCTACCAGACTCATTACGTTTTGAGTGAAATAAAATTATGAATTATGAATAAATATACATGCTTAAACTTCTTGAATGAAAAAGTGGCATTTGATACTTACCAGACCCTGTTCTACCAACAATGCCTATCTTTTCTTGCGATTCAATGTTGAATGTTATGCCTTTAAGTACAAGAGGTAAGTTAGGCCGGTAGCGCATCTTGAGCCCCCTCACTTGTATCGCACCTTTGGACGGCCACTCTATTGAAGGACGGTTTGATTTAACAACTGCTGGAGCTTCTGAATCTAAATTCTGCACAAGTACAATGAATGAAAATGGTTTATTTTTTAGACAAAACATCCATATTATGATAATAATCTAGACAATAGAATAGAGACAAGTTCATTTTAAATTTAGACAACAGAATTCAAATTGTATAAGGTATTTGACATCTATTAATGTTTACATATTGTTACTATTAATCCTATACATTTCAAAATAGATAACTTACATATATGTAATGAAATATTCTTTCTACTGACGTAAATCTTGCTTCAACTTCTGATGAAACTCGAACTGTATATTGGAATATACCCAGCATCTATACACCAACATAAACAATTTAATCAATTCTAGTTAAAGAATACGATACTATCTTTTTTAGTCACAAAAAGAAATTACTTGGTTGGCCCTTTACAGATTAAGTGTTTAGATTAATAGTGGATCCAGGGGTGACAAATAAAGTGCTCACCACTTAGCACTAACCCCCAACCCTCCCACACATACACACATCCCCCTGTATCTGCAACTGTAGGGATTACCATCAATTGAATAACAACAACAATAACAAATAAATAATAATAATAATAATAATAATAAAAATAATAACAATAATAATAATAATAAAAATAATAATAATAATAATAATAATAATAATAATAATAATAATAATAATAATAATAATAATAATAATAATGACTGAACACCTAAGGTATAAAGATACGTAACTTTTATTTGAATCACCTCTTTGTGTGAAGAATAATAAATAAACACAATGTAAAAAGATAAAAGCAACTCACTTGAGTAGCATATGCTAAAGCTAGGCCTGACAGCGCAGCAGGAACAGTCCCATGAGAGAGCACAACAAACAGGGCTGTACTGCCTGCCATGATGGAAGTGATGATATCAAATCTAACAGCTAGCCAACGATTACCCAAGTAAAATAAAGTCATGGCTACAGAATGTTCATCCAGAAGTTTCTCAAACCTGTTGTTAAAAGAAAATGTATATCAATGTACAGTACTGTATATTATATGTCAAAATATTGTCTTCATATATCTGTAATTGGTAAACCCATTGAAACCATATGTTGTTGGTAAATCATTAAAATGTTTTGTCTACAGTTCTGTGAGCATTATCTGAAAGGTGGGTGCAGTCCCATCTAACATCCACTCTAATGCAAATGCACTTTCTCTTGTGCTTTTTGATAGCTAAAGCTTACAGCAGTGCATTACAGTCCAAACAGTGTCCACAGAATAGTAGACAAAATATGTCCGCACCACAAAAGTTTTGATTGGATTACCACATTATATCTCTAAATTCTTATAAATTCTAAAATATATATTGTAAATTCAAATATTTAGAATCAGTACATATACTAAAATTACCTCAAAATATGAAACATAAAATACAATAGAACAAATAATATGGGGACACCATTGGTAGTGTCCTCCTAATAGAGGTTGGCTGTAGGAGTAGGAGTAGGAATTTCTCTCGATTTACTGCAAAAAGTGTCCCCTTAATAGGAGTGTCTTAAAGAATGGTCTACTGTATTATTATGAATCACAAATCAGATATGATTCTTGCTTACTTTGCTGTGTATTCTGGACCTTTATTGAATGCCCTGATCGTTGGTATTCCTAGTACGGTGCTGTTAATATGCGAGAACCAAAATGAACGTGTAATGTTATCCAACTGCTTAAGCTCACGTATTCCATGCCTGAAGAATTTAACAAGGATGATGAAAATGACAAGCATGATAGCGACTGCTACGAGGAACAACGGAAAGACTACAACGATGGTACCAATTGATAGGAAGATGAGGATGCTGTTCTGTATCAAGGATTCCATGTTAAATGGTAACCTGACATCCACTGCCAAAAATAGAAAATAGAAAAAATAGTTTTTTGGTGAAAATACTGTAAGAAATAGGAAGGTAAATATTATTGTCCAACAAATCAAACTGGAAATAATTTTCTAATGCAATATTAAGTACTGTATTATTAATAATTTGAACATAAATAACTGTCATATGCCATTATTTAAATGAAGTATGACATCATCATGCCCATATATGGGAATATCACACACATTCTTCACTTACAATGTGGTAGTGTGCACAGAGTTTACACACTAATAATTATAATTCATTTAATATCCTTAATAAATTTAGAGTGGAGCTGCAACATGGTGATTAAGATACTTAGTGCCTTCCAATACCAGTGTAGAGGGGTTCAATTATTGTCAGATATGACCATTTTTCTAATATTTAGTACTAATTTGTGCATTGAACAAAGCTGTTGTAATCATGGTTCAGCCAATGTTGACATGGTGGCACTCTTTTTTGGTGTGTGTCCATTTTAGAGGCAACATTTTCAAAAAGTTAGTACTCTAGGATTCTTAAGTTAGTACTCTAGGATTCTTAAGTTAGTACTCTAGGATTCTTAAGTTAGTACTCTAGGATTCTTAAGTTAGTACTCTAGGATTCTTAAGTTAGTACTCTAGGATTCTTAAGCTCTCAGTGCACATTATCAAGTTTTCTGTGACAAATTTGTTTGATTTTACCATATATGGGCATGATGTCATATCATACTCATTTATAGATATGATGACATCATCCTGACCATATATACTGTAGTTATGGTGATATCATATATCAATATATGGACAACGTGGGCATGATAATAATATATTCCCCCCCCCCCACCACCGTCGGAGAGAAAAACTAAAATTTGTCGGAGACAAAAAAATATGTATTAGTATTTTCTACATATTAGTAGATTAAATAAGCCTTTGAAACCCCTCAATCTTCATTCTTTTGGGCCCCCAGGAACACTTTCTAGAGGTTTTAAGCAACGTCCGACCACGCCCCCTTTTTTGGACGGGACATCGTTCCTCCACCCCTGTCCTGGCGCCACCCCTGAACTCAATGTACACTATACCTACCTTCATCCAAATCTTTGGAGAAACGGTTGAGAATTCTGCCTAGTGGTGTTGTATCAAAGAAGCTCATTGGACAAGACACAACTTGTTTGAATACAGTGTCATGCATTTGAGAGGATGCCCTTAACGTAATCTACGGATGTTTAAACAAATAATGTTATAAAGTGACTTTTCAATGTTCAATAACTTACTACAAAATATTATTGATAACTTATCAAATTATTTTCCATAAGCTTCATTTGTTAATAAATGATGTAATTATTAATCATTTACTAAAGAATTCTAACATATTCAGTTATGTTTTAATCATTTATTTTTTAATTTTGACTTAAAAAAAGTCTTAATATCAAATTCAAAGTCAAATTTATTCAGCCACAAAAAAGGAAATTTCATTGCTTGTTTTTACAGTTATGAAAACGACACAATTGTTTAAAATGGATAAAAGGTTATAAATCAACAACACAATAATAGAGTTCCACAGCATTGTAATAATTCAGTAAGAAACCATTAAAACTCACCCATATTGTACTTACATTAGTATAAATGAAACTGCGCAGGCAGGTCAACAGAATGAAAGCTACAGCTGACATCATGTACACTGTCTGGTAAAACAGATTATCCGGATTGTCAGTTATACTTCCTACATGGTCATCATCAATATCAGTGGAGTTGTCATGATTCTATAAATTAAATATTAGATATATATTAGGAAACAAGAAATAAAAACAGGAATAATTACAAAGGGATTACCTCTGTCAGGGAGGTAACAAATTGGCAAAAATTCATGTAAACCTTTGGTCACATAAATGAGGATTATTTACTCTCATTTTCTAGGGCAATGTTTTCCACTAGGCGAATCTATTCGTGCGAATCAAAGCGTCGGTTAACTTCCTGTGCTCTGAGTGGTTGCGCATTTTTTCGCTTTGCAAAAATAGAAATGCGAAAGCGCATAGGCCGACGCTTTCGATTCGCCTAGTGGAAAAAAGGCTTTACATCACATTTTGAAAAGATGGTTTGGACCAACAGTTTCCAATAAGGTTTTTATGGTTAGAAGACCTGTCTTGGCCAGCTTTGTGCAGGTTCATAGGCTGTGAAGTAGTTCATGCTATGTTTGAGCCTTAAAAAAAGGTCTTTAATTTGAGGGAGATCTGTATTCAATGATTATTAAATGTTTTATTATTTATTCATCAAAAAAAACTATATGGCACACCTCTCCACTTCCCTGGTGTAGCCAGAAACTTAGCCACCAGTTGCTAAATACAGAACATCCAATTGTCGCAGTGAACACCAACAGGACAATACATGCCACACAGTACCCGCCACTTGCTTTGACATAAGCCTTGTATGTTTGAAGTCCAACAGCACCCTCACTCTTCTGTTCTTCTTGAATTAATTTACCTTAGAAGAAGAAAACAAAGCAAATAGTATTAGATACAATTACTGTATAAATTGTTACTAAACACTAGATTTACTGGAAGGACTGAGCCACCAACACATTATACCTACCATAAAAACAGTCGACCAATCAGTATTGAGTATCAATGTTAGGTTACTCCTTTGATAGACACTGTAGGCCTTTTGAGCTTTTGTACATGACATAACTTTGTGTAAAGCCCATGACATAACATCATAACCATATATAGGCACACCATGACTATATATGGCCATACAACAGTTTCTTGTCAAAAAACATTTGATTATCTAGACAGCTTTGGAAGGAATCATTTGCTTCCTTGCAGACTTTCAGAGATAGAAGTACCTCTGCCTTTTCTGCATTTGGAAACATATAAAGATCTATCATCAAATAATAAAGTACAGTAACTCAGACATGTTCATGCTATCATAAAATATAAAAATTAGCTGTTTGAGTTGTTGGCATTATCTTTACTGTTCAAGCAAAATTTGACATCTTCACATTGTTCCACACCTCTCTTTGTGGCAGAAGCATTGGTGGCAGTGATGACAAATTTTGTTAAATAATAAGGGTATCATTAAGGTAATCTATAACTCACCATCTCTGTGGACCTGTTCTTCTGACTCGTAAAGAGATTGCATGGACTTGTTCAATGGTACATCATTGGCAGATAGGTCCTTAGGACATACGTCCTGCAAGTCGGATAAATCGTCAACTTTAAGCTTCACATCAATTTCCTTTAACTCTTCTTCCTCATCCGTAAGCTCCGCTTCAGACTCTGTAATAGATTTATCATCCTTATGCTCACTATAAAATGTCTGAATAAGGTTTGCGTAATCTCCCTCATGAGACATCAGCTCCGCATGAGTCCCATGTTCTATAATGTATCCATCTTTCAGGAGAATAACATCATCACAACGGTTCAAATACTGCAGTTGATGAGTAACAAAAATAACAGTTTTTTCTTTTAAAGCTTTTAGTATGCAATGGTTAAAAATGTGCTGTCCTACATGGCCGTCAACAGCACTTAAAGGATCATCCAATAGATATATATCGCAGTTAGCATACAGCGCCCTCGCTAGACTTATACGCTGTTTTTGACCACCACTAAGGTTGATTCCTCTCTCCCCAATCTGAAATAATTAAACAAAAAAAACACCATTAGCTTATATAAGAGGATTTTAAAGAGATAGAGTATTGTACAGTGCATGTGAATAGACAGGCTTTGCCGTAAATGATATGTTGGTGAGTTCATTGTTTTATAAAAAATAAAACTAAAATATGCCAAAAATGCAAGGCATGATGACGATAAAGGTGATGATGATGATGATGATAATGATGATAATAATGTTGATGGATAATTATGATGCTGGTGGTGATGATGATGATGTAGATGATGACAAAAATAACAAAGAATATGCGACAATATGACAAAAAATGCAACGCATGATGACGAAGATGATAATGGTGATTATGATTATGATTATGATGATAATAGTGATGAAAAATGTTGATGATAATGATCATGCTGGTGATGATTATGATTATGATGATATTGATGATGATTATGATGATATTGATGATAGTAATACCTCTGTCTTATCTGCATTTGGAAGCATATCAAGATCCTGCTTAAGGCTACAAGCACACAGCACTTTCTTGTAGCGCTCTTGATCCATTTCTTTGCCAAATAAAATATTATTGCATAGCGTATCGTTAATAATCCATGCCTGTTGAGATACATAAGCAAATGACCCATCTATTGCAACACTGCCCTCAGTTTTTACAGCAAAACTTAAGATGGCTGAGAGCAGACTGCTCTTACCACAGCCAACAGAGCCACAGATCCCAAGAAGTTGACCCTATAAAAACAAAATAATCAGAATTAAGCTGGCCACTCACTGTGGTCAATGGTCGTTGGAAAACCCGATTCATGCAACACATCGTTTTTAGTGAGGATCCATTCAGACTGCTACTGAAAATCAGCAGACAATTTTTTACGTTGTCTAGTGCTCACTGGGAACAGGGTTGGATTCGTCGCCGATGGGCGTACGACCGTCAGACGATGCATTGACTGTCCGGCTTTACAAATACATTAACTATTATGTATTGAATACAATAACCAATATGTATTGAATACACTAACTAATATGTATTGAGCAGTTGATGAAGTGGCTGTGGTTAAGACTCTCAAACATAAAACATGGGTTCAAATTCTTTGCTGGGCATAACTTTTTTTATTTTATATTTATTTTTGTTTACTCTTATAGCGCCTTTCTTTCCAGATATGAACCCCCATTTTTTCCAGTGATTCATATATATTTCACAATTACTTCACGATTACTGTAATATTATGAACAAAATTAAATAAGGAGAGACTGGAATGGCATAGGCCTACTCTACAGAAAAATACAATTTAAGAATAGGAATTATTTTTCCTTTAAGATAACAACTTGTACAAATAAAATACACATTATTTATTTTTATCACTAAAAAATAACATTTTCTCAACAAACCTTTTTAATTTTAAGATCAATATTAAAAAGAATTTTCACAAATTCTTCGTTTTTATTTTGCATGAGAAATGAGCTTTCACCTCCATTACTGACAGTTGAATTCTTTGCAATTTTTGTTTTGGAATTCCTTCTTCCGATCATTTGCATTATTTTTGAGTTTCTTCTACCAGATTTGGCTTTCAATTGTTCCTCATATTTGGACACATATGTTTCTCGATCCCATGCAAACGTTGCATTTTTTATGACAACAGCATCAGCAAATGGATATGTATTTTGAGAATATTATTATTTGAATGTATAGTAGCAGGATATAGATACTAAGCATGTTGTTGGGTCAAACACACATTATCCTTCTGTTATCATGAATTTGAGGAAACATGACAACAGCAAGAAGTTACTTTCAAACCTAACATCACTCAATATCTATCCTACATTCTTATGCATGTCAGTTACCAAAACAACATCAATTTTTGCAATAGCAAGCACTGTTCGTAAGATATATTGTCTACATTGAAATTAATATTCAAAATAGCAAAGTCATTTGCTTCATTTTCAAATTTTGAATAAGATTGTATTTTTTTTTATCTCCAATACAGATGCATAAATATAAAATTGCCTGTGATCAATCTGTGAATTATCAAGATCAACGTTATAACTTAAATTTGGCAAGTTAATACTTTGAAATTTAATTTTGTAGGATTATTTTTACACACAGACAATATGGTAATGGTATAGCACATAAGGGCACATAGAAAAAATTGTTAGATTATCACTTTTTTTTTTTTTAGTTAATGAGGGAGGGCGGCTTTTTTTTTTAATTTTTTTAATGGGAACAATAGATTATTTCGCTTTTGTTTTTATCGATGAGGGAGAGACTGTTTATATTTGGTCTCTAATAGCAAATATTGTATAAAAACTGGTTTAATTTTATAGTTTTTAAAGAAAATGTATTTGAAGTCACAAAATGTCATTGTTATTTTTATGCTGGTGAAATAATTGATGCGGCAAAAAAAATTGTTTTTCTTTATTCCCGCATCAATGTTTTGACGCGGGCGGGAGTGATAATCTAATAAATTTTTCTATTTGCCCTAATACTAGGTTTCTATGCACTTTCAACACATACCCAAAAGATGTTGAATATATCTATGAAAAGGCCAAGTAAACACAAAAGGAGGATTTAGAAGCTAAGCATACACTGTGTACAGACAAGACAATTTTATACCTTGTTCTCGGGAAGCTGCCACCCGCCAATAACACACCTGTTGCTGCGAAGAATTTGATGTTCCATAATTGTTTACGTATATCATATTCTTTTATGAAAAGTAATGGGATTTGTACCGAAGGCCTAAACTGTGTTATTAGCTGAAGCACATTTTTATATTCATCAATATATATTTTTTATATTTTCCCTTCCATCTTTCAAAATTGAAGTTAGCTAAACAAGGTATAAAAAGGTCTTGCCTTAAATTCCCAATTAGAGAATAAAATTTACATACAATTATGACCACATGTTAACATAATTTGATATATACATATTAATGTTGCATGATGTTATTATCAATTAATATTTTTCCCATTACTAGGTATTAACCTATTTATGTTGAATCCATAAACTGTATAAAGAGTGCTTAGGATTTTCTGTGCAAAGTGCTGCATAAATTTAGAGAATTAAAATAAAAACAAAAATTACAAAATGTTATTAGTATAACTAAAAAGATGAATTTGATATACATAATGCATTTATATGTTTAAACTTAATGCACTTTAAAATGTAAAATAAAGAATGGAATTAAAAATAATAACGACTGGTAAAATGTTTTTCAACATATGAATGCACTAATGGAAGTTGCCTGTCAGATGTTCGTAGCCAAAGTGTTTGAACAGGAAATGGTCAGTATTAAATAATAATCAGAAGTATATTGAAAATGATTGCAGAACATGAATTAGCGTAGGTGACTGCGTGAGGGTATTATGCTAGATATATTAATTTGAGTTTAAAATGAGTGAACATTCAGGACCTCAATTAATGCAGAAAAAATACACATCCATACAATGCATGTATGCATGTATGCATATATGTGCATGCATCATGTAATTTTTGCATATGCATCATTTGTGTATGTGATATCAAATGATTCATGAATACTGTGTATCACATGATACAAGCATGCACTATGTGATGCAGACATGATGCTTGCATCCACCATAACAAGCATACTGTACATGTACCATTTGATGCATACATGATGCATGCATGGTCTCTGTTATATACAGACATGATGTAGACATGATGCATGCATGCAACACATGATGCATGAATACATACACGAACACGGGCCTACACACATGCAACATACAGTACATGATAAATACGTAGATCCTTGACATTAACCATGAAGCACATACCACATTCATACAACCAAAATAAAAAGTTTTTATTTTAGGAAATAAGTAAAGCAAAGATAAATTATCTCCTAGATCAAACTCACCAATGCACGTTGAGTAAATACCAGTGACTCTCCTAAGCTCTTTATTAGAAAGGGCGTTGCTATTACGATTATACGCAACAAATTTAAGCAAGATATATAACTGAAAGCCTAGGCAAAAATGAAATGGTATCATGAAATCAATGGTCCATATTTATACTTTTATTTTGAAAGATTGATAATGAATTGAAAATTAAATGAAAACAATAATGCTAATAATTTGATAGACCAATACAAAATGAATTTGGTGAATTAACAAATAAATGATACGAAAAAGAATTCTGTGAATATAAATTACAAAACTATTGGTAGTTCTGAAAGAAAAGTAAAAAGTAATACTCTGTGATTGCACATGTGTACTTAGATTTCTTTGACGAGAATTAGAAGAATTAAGCCACATTCACACCAAAGCCTGAATCCGGTCTGTGCCCAGACAAACAATCATGAAAAATGGGTTCACAAGCTTGGTTTCGGATTCGAGCTTAACACACAAAAGTCTGAAAACTTATTTCATGTGGAGTCCTAGTGGTGATTGATATTAGCCAGTACACTGGGAGACAATCTCTTGCTCTTTACTAATTCCTAAAGAGTGTCTGCATACGCAGATGGCCGTATTGCACACAGTTCAACAACATAAATGTCTTTTCCAACAGCAGAGCACAAATGTAACACAAGAATGGCAATAGAATTCAACCAGCACTTACAAATGCATCTAACCCACTGAGAAGGCTTCAATGAGTGTCATAAAGCACAACTATCCTTCCATTCTATTCCAACAAGGCAGGAAAATACCAAGAAATTAAAGCAATCAGAGCTCAGGAATGGCAGTTGAAATTGATGTGAGGAGTATAGAAAAGCGTTTGCTTGTCAAGAGAAAAAGGACACATTATAATGAGAAAGTGGTTATTAGTGAATGAGGGCAGCAGGCTAAGGAAGGATAGTTTTTATGGTGAAGTGGTTATTAGTGAATGAGGACAGGCTAAGGAAGGATAGTTTTTATGGTGCTAATTAAGGCAAATTTTATGCGAGTAAGGGGAATCCAATTGTTGTGAGACTAGTTAAGCAAGCAGTTGTTAATAGGTATACATTAGGGGAAGGGAATTGTTGTGAGACAAGGTAAGCAAGTAGTCGTTAATAGGGAATACACTAGGGGAAGGCAATTGTTGTGAGACTAGGTAAGCAAGCAGTTGTTAATAGGGTATACAGTAGGGGAAGGCAATTATTGAGACTAGGTAAGCAAGCAGTTGTTAATAGGGTATACAGTAGGGGAAGGCAATTATTGAGACTAGGTAAGCAAGCAGTTGTTAATAGGGAATACAGTAGGGGAAGGCAATTATTGTGAGAGTAGGTAAGCAAGCAGTTGTTAATAGCGTATACTGTAGGGGAAGGTAATTCATTCACCAGAAAACAACTCAAACATTCATGGCTGGACATGGGCATCGCAAGTGAAAAATATGAACGTTGAGTTGCAGCTAAAATCAAAAACAACATCTAAGCCAACTAGCCACTGTACCATTTAACAGCAAGACCACATAAAACAAAAATAAAATTACTATACATAAAAACATGCAGCAAATCTACTGGACAATAAAAGTCATGCTCAAAACTGTTTTCATTCAATTTAAATTTGTTGAGCTATAGTTTTATTAGAACTAATTTCTATTTATTATACTACCTGTATTTAAATCTTAAAGACGAGTTCAGCTGGTGCCATTAGTGTGTTAATAATGTGCTGGTAATTGCTAGATACCTTTCACCTCATAAAAAGGGATTGTTCCAAAGTGACTGCAAACCAGGTGTTATATTTATAGAATGCCAACGACAGATTGTTTTGTTGTCATCTGGGAAAGTACGTACCTGCATGCGCATCGTAGCGACCTTGGTCTCTCCAAGGTATTTGATGCTGGCTGGAGTGATAGCTACAATGATACGTGTGGCATTCAAACACGCCATGTAAGTGAAAGCCTAGGATGGTGAAAACAAATTTTAAAAAACATTGGTGTACAGGTTGCTCAATGAAAATTCACTATGATACAAACAAGCTGAACTTAGCCTCTTGAACACGAACCTGAAAAAGATCAAGCAAGCCATGCACTAATGAAAAATGAGTGCATGGTTTTGGATAGGAAAATAACATTGGGAGTTAACAGTGATGATGTCACAATTGACTTACTGCTATATTAAATATCTATTATATTCTGTTTTCGTCCCAAAGTTTCTTTTTCCTAGTTACTCTATCCTTTTTTTTATATATATAATTAACTTCTCTTCCCACGTTACCTTCCTCCAAATTATCCTTCTTCACTGTAATGGAGCCACTACTCACAATCTCAAGGAAAAGTGAGAAACCAGTACCACAAAGCACCAGTGGCAGGGCAAACCACCTAAAACACCTGCAAATCACTTCCCTTGTATTAACATACTCATTTCACATTACAACTGAATTAGATGGGCTTTACATATTTATAATTTTGTTGATGTATGGAAGGCAAGTTACAATGCAGCAGAGTTTGAGATGTGGGATGTTTATAAAGATTTGTGTGTCTTGTGTGCAATAATGCTCATGTGAAGCTAGGAGAGTTGTGTGTCTTGTGTGAAATAATGCTTTATGTGAAGCAAGGAGGTACAGTATACATGCTCTGTAGGCAGGTAGAGGTAACTGTCTCTCAGTGTAATGCCTAATTCACCACCAGGATCACACCACTGGAATTAAGTCATCAGACTTTCATGGGTAATCTTTATAATAATAATAATAGTGTAGTTTTATATCCATCTAATGTAAGATGCTCAGGGCGCTTGATATGTGGACTAGGAACTCGATCAATGACTTTCTTCGCCCCTAAGGGTCACTTCGTGTCTGTGCTACCCGGTAACCCGGTACCAGCAACTCTCGTCGTCCACCACTGGGGCTGTCTGTTCCAGTACACCGGGGTATCCCCCTACTCGTCTCGAGGGATGTACTGGGTTCTTTATAGTGCACACGAGCCATTGTATACACTGGGCCTATGGTTTATAGTCCTTATCCGAGAAGACTTGTTCTACCACCAGAACCATAGGTGAAAGTGCCATTCGACTCGCCTCTTTACAAGTTTCACAACACAAAAAACAAAATGATCATAATCCAAAATCCAAAATAGTAAACAGTTATACTTGGAATTGGACAGCAAGAATCTAAGCACTGATTACACAACTCCATCTATAATTTTACAGATAGTACACTGTGTTTAAGACATGCTTGATTCCGCTGGAAGAATATACAGTATTATGACCCACAGTTTGCTGCCTTAAAATACAGAGCCTGTAATGTAATCATATGGATTAGTGTACAAATTCAAGATTCAATCTATTCTTTATACAGCACATGAAATTAATTATTCTGAGCCTGAAACAAGATAAATTATATAAACATGCAAATACAACAATATGAAAAATATATATGGGTATATTTATTGCAAAAAATACTTGCACACAAAACAGCCTATTCCAGCATGTGCTGAATTGAGAGACAAAAATATAAAATTGGCAATTAACAATTAAATCAGATCTCTGAGTGGCTTCTACAAACTTGGTACATTTGCTATGATATTGTTTAATAAAAAATGTGGTATATAATTGCTATTATACATTTTCTAATGCATATACATGGCTTTGATTTTCACAAGAGCACCATGCCTTACAACAAGAGCATCATCACTTAGCGCTTTTATGTGCTTCATCCTAGTAATTGTTTATATTGTGCTTTTTTATATTGAGCGTGTATATTATTTTTACTGAATAAATTCAATCAATAAATAGCCAAGCTCACAAACCAATAGCTGTTCAAAAGAAAATAATTCTTAGCTAATTCCAAATACTTATTTACGTTATCAATTATGATAAACTTGATGGGTCATAATAAGCATTTTTTTGAGTAGATATATCATCAGAGAAACGTATGACTTTGATAGTTACTATGGAAACAACCTTAACTCCATTTTTGGGTCTTTCTCTTATACAGTACTTCAAATAAAAAGTATGAGAAAGAAACTAATTTCCAATTAAGTCCAATATACATAGGATGTTTCTAGAGTAGGCTTTCCATCATCAGTGCTAATTTAATGCTTTCATGTAATTATATAATGGTATAATAATTGCTGATTAGTGAGATAGCAGAAGCGATGAATTATCTTATAAATCCTATGATCCATAATTTGATAATGTGATCTGATATTGATTTATAAATGATATAATGATGATGATGCAAGAAAAGATAAGGCATAAGCATTCATAAACTTATTTTAAAAAAAAATCAAAACCAGAATAAAACACATATAACTCTCAAAACCCAAAAAAATCTCAGTGTCCAAGGCTAGAGCAAGCCTCAGTTATAGAAAATGGATATTCTGATGGATTGACAGTTGTAATGACTTTTTCTAAGCTCATTACAAATGCAATTTAGTAACTCAAAACATCAATTATACAGACTTACTAGTGGAGTTACATTAGCAATGATTATACTATAAGAGATCTAGATAGTTACAACCCTTGCAAAAGCGTAACACATGTAGTGGTGGATAGTGATGCTAAAGATTTTGTGGCTGTTTTGTTACCAGAAAAAACTGTACCTTAAGCCTAACGCAATTTACTAGGCTTTCACCAATATATCGTACAGCTGCTGGTGTTGTACTTAGTACTGTCCTGAATGGACCCCCTAATAAGCTCATATAAAAGAAAACCTACAAAAAAAGAGGCTATAGTTAACAAATATAAGAGCACTACAGTATTTTGCTATGACATGTGTAGCTGAAATAAAAGATAAAAGATTAAAGATACATTTACTGCGAAACAAAAGGTTGCCTAGAAATGTAAATATGTTTATAGTTGTGTAAAATTTTTAAAAAATAGCGTAAAATTAAAAAAAAAAAGCTGCATAATTCCAACATTGGTTCTGGTAGTGGATCAAGTTTTCATGTAAAAATAATAACAATATACCATCTGAACTGCATTTTAACGATAGTTCTGCATATAATTTAATTGACAAAGCAAATTTACTTAATCAATCTTTCTATTCTGTTTATTGCCATTCCAACAACAATTTAAATTACCCCTCTCCCTGATTATCCTGTAAAAATGTTATTTCATTTTGAATTCAATCAAGAATGTATATAAGGTGTTTTTGTATACATTCAATCAAGAATGTATACAAAAACACCTTAACGAAATTGGTCCACAGAAGGTGTGTGGAAATGATGGATTAAGTAACTTTATTTTGTCCACAGCAGCTAAACCTCTTTCTTTCCCCTGTAAAATGTTATTCGACAGATGCAAAAATTTGGAAAACAGGCAAATGTGTGTCTTATTTACGAAGGAGATCCGAAATCTGTATAGCCCAGCTTCACTATTACCCAAATATCCAAAATCTGTATAGCCCAGCTTCACTATTACCCAAATATCCAAAATTAAAAAAAAAACATATATAACCAAATTTTTAAACATATTAAACCTGTTATTAGCAAAAATCAGCATGGCTTTTATCCTAGAAGGTCGTGTGAAACCAATTTATCAGTCCTTTTGAACCATGCTTATAATGCTATTAATTCTAAAGGTCAGTGTGAAGTCATTTATACTGATATGGCCAAAGCATTTGATAGGGTTTCGCACATCATATTTTACACAAACTTAGCAAATTTTGATTTAATAATGATCCTATTTCATTTTTTTCGAGTGATCAGTCACAGAGAGTAATTATTGACGGTAAATCATTTCATTGGCTTCCAGTTTTATCTGGTGTACCGCAGGGTCAATCTTAGGGCCTTTGTTTTTTTATGTTTATCAATGATTTCTCTTATGTTCCTCACCATTCAAATTTGCCTATATTTGCAGATGATATTAAATTAAACATAATATGAATGATATGTTGTTACTACAGGAAGATGTTTCTAAGTGTAAATCTATGTCTATTACTTTAAAGAAAACCTATTTGTTATAATTTTAATATAAACAATGTTTTATTGGAAAGAGTTTCTGTTTTATTGATAGTTCCTGAACTTTTTTTTTGCATATTGATTATATTGTCCCTAAATGTAACAGACTACTTGGTATTCTTTGGAGGCACTGTAGACACTGTTGATGGCAGTAAAAATTATTTTATACAAATCTTTAGTTAGGTCTAACCTTAAATTTTGTTGTTATATTTAATTCCATTTCTTGTTATCAGTCTACAAGATTACAACGTATTCAGAATAAGTTTTGTTGACTTTATTCTCATAAAATTGGTTTTATTAGTAAAGAGGTTTTAGTTCCTTTAGCCAATAGATGCCTATTTTTTGACTTGATTTTTCTTTATAAGTGCATGAATTCTAAGTATGGTGGGAAATTTGAGGCTTACTTTCCAATTTCTGTTCCGATGTATAATTTACGCAATCCTACACTATTTTCTATATCAAGGGGGAGAGTGAATGTGACAAAAAATGGTTTTAAAAATAGGCTACCTAAGTTATATAATTATTTGTGTAAAGTCGATTTTTCTATTGATATTTTTTCGCCGTAAAGTTTTGTCTAATGTTTCTAAAATTTAGCTTTTGTGGTTGTGTTGTCTTGCATTGTTTTGTATTTTTATTGTGTACCTTCTTGTTGTTCAACCCTGTAAATGGTGACTTTGGTTACTATAGGGCGTGGATGAAATAAAATTTAAAAAAATAAAATAAATTCTTCCCTTAAGAGGGTCCAGGTCTCCAGATTTCCCGACGAGTGTCTTGCGCCCCCTGTACCACCGTAGATACCGCCACTGTGCCACTGCTCAAAAGAATACAGTTCATTCTCTACTTTTTATCATTATAATATGGGCCTATACAAAAATAAGTACAATTTTACAAACAAAAGACATAATTAGTTCTCACCTGTGAAGGCGTCAGATCATTGCCAAGAAAGGTATGAATTGAGAAGGTAATGACAGTGGCAAGTACTGGTACCAGAGGGGTGAGACCAGTGTTAATGCTCTGGACATACCCTGCCTTCTGCAACACTGCACGTTCATCCTCACGGATACCTGAAATATTTGGTTAAATGAGATTGTTGTATTTCTTTCTTTATTTGTTGCACTTGATAATAACATACAAAAAAAAACATAAGCCTATAATAAGGAAAATTATAAAGACCACCTCCAATTAAAGGCAAATTTTCTGTGGTCCCAAATTAACAAGCGTCTTTTTTCTTTATTATTCGAATTAGAGACAAAAGCTGCTAAAGACTGTGGAAACCCCAGTCCTATACATATAATAATACTCTCCTAAAAAGTTATTTTTTATTGAATTATTTTAGTATTAAATAACCCCTGATGAAAGCAGAACAGATACTGTATCCTTAGTGTGTTCTGAATTTCCTTTTCCTTAACAACACATCTGTTTATTTAGGTAGGGTAATGAAATAGCTTTGCATTATGTTCGGCTGCCAAAAAAGACCCTGGGCCTTGGGTTACGCAAATTGCCAGGCCTCGACTTTTAGTGTCTAGTGACCTTTTGGGATCCCAAAGTCAAGTGGCACAACACAAGACACAGTGGGTTCAGAGGACAGATCCCCAGAAAACTGTACCTTTCTCAATGTATGTTGCAGTTGTCTGTGTAATTAATTCATTACAAAATAAGAGTAATAGAACAATGTAAATTTGCATAAAAACCAAATATTTAAAATTTGAAAAAGCTGAGTAATAGGTCTGAGAAAAAAAATGATACCAACCTGAAATTGTTTTGGCAAATGATTTTTCCCAAGCGTACATCTTGATAAGCTTAATGCACATAATGATCTCACTCATCATCTTCACACGGCGATCTGTGACAACAATCCCTTTGGCACGAAAGTATGCGATGACCTTTGACATACCCAGCTGTTGAAAATTATTTAAAAAGAGTATAACAATATTAATTGATAAGATTTTCTATTCTTAATAGTTGTATGGAGTAAAAGACATTGAATTGGAAAGGCTATCGATAGACTTCTAATCAATTTATAACCAGGCGGTACTGGAGAGGGCTAACTTGATTTTCTACTCCACAACAAGACATCCAGTCGTAGACACCCACATTGATCAATCAACCATTTACCAATTAACACATTTTTGATAAACTATAGTCATCTAAAGTGTATACCACTTTTACGGCAAACATAGGTAAAACTACAGTACAATACAGACCTGCAGAGGATAAAAAAGGAAAAACACTCCAGTTCCAACAGTAGCAGCTGGGCCAATCAGAATGCTTGTATAAACAAGACCAGCCATAGCTAATAATGGACCAATAAAAAGGAACGGCAGAAACAACATCATCTCAAAAATACGTTGGCCGTCATTTGTACACAAGTTGACAATCTAGAGACAAACACAGAATTTGTTTTATAAAAATAATATGAAAAATATAAATACTAATAAGCAATTAGTAGAGTTCTGCATAGTACACTAGAGGAAAATTATTATATGAAGGTTAGATTTAATGCTTGAAAAAATTTCGTTATGGTTTCATAACTACGCTAGGCTACAGCCTGGGCTTAGAAATACTAGTAGGAGGCGGCCTCTGCGGCCTCCTGCTTGGCCGTAGGCCTATGTATAATTTTGTTCACTGAGTCTTTAAAATAGGTCTAGAATATTCCTATAAAACATTCAGTTTGTTTACCTTATTAGGGTTCATTGATTCAAGGAATTCCTTAATTGTTCATACATATTGAATTTGAAGTACCTTTTTTCGGGTTCTTAATTAACCTCGTTTTACGAAAGTAAAAGAGATCATTAGAATATCATTTTAAACCTACCTCACCAGCAGATTTTCCTTTCATACTTCTTAAACGAGTGGTTTTGCGATAAACAGCGGCCAGGGCAGCACCTCTAAGCCTGGCTCCAGCTCTTGTGCTTAGGTACCAAGTAAAACCCATGAAACAGATGGTGATGAGTTGACAGGCAAATAGCAAAGCCACAAGTGACAGCCCATAGCGGACATGTGACTCAGTTGCCTCTGCATACTCCAGTAGCTTTCTGACGGCCACACACTAAATATAAAAAATTGGAAATCAAAAGAATATGCATGTAACAGTAAATACTTAAATTCAAAGAAAACTAAAGGTTTCCCATTAAGTAAACCAAACATGTTCACACCTCTGAGCAGGTTCCGTAAACAAAATTCATTAAAGCAATGAGGACCTGGTAGAATTTAATAGGGAGCTTTTGATTGCACGACGATGGTAGGACGTTGAACGTGGCCACGCTCAATGTAGGACACAATTTGCAGAGAAAGTAGGACGCCTGGTAGGACAGTCACACATGAGTGAATCCATTCTAACGCCGCGTCGTCGTGCAAATCTAAAGATTACTAGTGTTTAGTATGATAGTCCACTCATAAAAAAGGTGACATTTCAGTAGAATCTTTTAAAAAATGTCAGTATTTTCTGATAAATTTCAGTTCTATACGTTACTACAATTTTATCTATGTTTTCATCGGCATTTATATGCTGTCAGTAGACAGTCAATCTATCAACAATTTTTACTTATTAATTCACAAGAAGATGGACAGTAGGATGGTTAGGGCAGGCAGCAGTCATAAGACTGCTCACTGGTTAAGGGGAAGCCCCTACAACCCTGATAAGGATTAATCTGTTTATAACTTTCATGGAAAGATTGTACAGTAAGATGGTTAGGGGAAGTCCCTATAACCCCGATAAGGTTCTTCATAATTTTCATGGGAAGGTTAGTATCAGACAGATAACCTGTACTTAAACAAGATATAATGTACACAGTCCATACTGTTTTCATGGAAAGATTAGAACCAGGCAGATAACACAGATAAATATAGCTGCATAGCTTGTCACTGAAGGAATGTACATACACTCCCTTTATTTTGTAAAGAAATGGCAAACAAATCAGTCTAGAATTTTTTGGGAAAAGCCCATTTGTATCAGGTGAGGAATTGACAGGCAGCAAATAACCGATAAGCCTATTTGAAGGGTTGCCATACTGTAGATACAGCCCTGTTAATATTATTAAATTGTTTGTTTGTTGCTCAGAAATCAGAGTGGTACATCATGAACAATGAGATATGTTGAAGCTGATCATTTTTGGACAGCCAATCATAATAACCTTTGATCTAATGGAAGTTTGACTTCAATCACTTAGCAAAATACCTCTGTAAGGTGTTTTGCAAGTAGTGATGTATCTAGAGTTATTGAAATGCGAGGCTGATAGGGGTGCAAATATGAAGTGGTAGGGCTTGATGATTGAGCAAGGGGCACTAGCTGGAAAATCTTCAGTGGTAGACGACTGGGGAGGGGGCACGTAAGCTTTTTTGGGAGGATTCCCCCATGATACGCCACTGTTTGGGAGCCTGCCGTCCACTGATAACGGTGAATTTGAATAAAAAATACAATTTCTTAGCACACCCACTGCCATAAATAAAAAGGAAATTTCAGAAAAAAAAAAACCTGCAAAAACTACTGTAGCGTGATCTTGTTCTATTCGCACCTATATTGCACTGTTAACCTAAGCTGCAGATAATTGATAAAATCAAGAATAAAATCAACAGTAATCTTTGCACTTATCTCAGGTACTTGTTTCATGTTTACTTAGATACTAGAAGGCCTAATGATATTGATTGTGGTTACAATCACTTCAGTTTAAACCACGTGTTAAGGACGTGAAGAGGGTAAATAAATTTCTTCATCCTCCATGGGAAATTTAAATGTTTATAATAATAATAATAATAATAATAATAATAATAATAATAATAATAACAATAATAACAGCAGCAGCAGCAACAATAATAATAATAACAATAATAATAATAATAATAACAATAATAATAATAATAATAATAATAACAATAATAATAACAATAATAATAATAATAATAATAATAATAATAATATTAATAATCAGACATTTATAATGCACCAGTATCCGTTGAAGATATTCATGGCACATTGGCATTTCTGAGTCAAAGACTTTGTTTGCTAATTGATACTTATTTTACATGTTTATAACCTTCATAAAGGCTAACAAGATTTAAGGTTACTCTTCATGGTAAGATAAAATATCGGACAATGAAGGTGTCTTTTACAAGTATAACTAGCCATTCCCATTGTTGTTTGATGTGATTTTGATATAGTACCTTTCAGAAATAAACATTCATCAGTGACGAAGACCAGAATATACTTACAGCAGTACAAAATGCAGCTGATAACGATATGAGAAGCACGGCACTGGCCTTAAACAAGTCTCTCCAAATGAAATAGAAAAACACACGAACAAATGTCGCTTTTTTGGGGCCGTAGGTTTGTAATTCTTCTTGCCACAGTCGCTCAAATCTTTAAGAAAAATATATAAGTGCTCATATTATGAAGATAACGATTAAAAATATAACAACCACAAAACATCACAGTACCTTCTAAACATCACAAATAATACTAACATTAACAATAATATTAATGTATTGTTACAATAATAACAATGAGAGTTATTAATGATAATGATACTGCTAATAATCAAATAACAACAATGACATTAACAACAACAATAAAATAAAGTTTTTTTACGAATAGCATGATAAAGTAACAATTATCTCTGCCACAGGACTTTAAGATACTTGTTAAATAGATTCCCTTGTGTTGTGCTGTCCAGAGGCAGATTTGGTGGGGGGGGGGGGAGGATGTAAAAAAATGAGAAAAAAAAAAGAAACAAAGAAAGAAAAAAGAAAAACATGATCGCCCAAAATGCCTTGGAGGTTATTTTCAGGCGTCTAGAACACAAAAATTATCAGAAATTTAATAATAACCATTATAAATTAATCGTGATGTCATCATTGTAGCCCCAATGTTCTTTTTCTATTTCCCAACCATGCACTAATTTTTCATTAGTCCACAGTTTACTTGAGCTTTTATTTGGTTCATGTGCAAAAGGTGAAAACAACTACAACACACACCTGTGGAACGAGTGGGCAGACACTCGTTCAATCGTCATTTGTTGACAAAGTGATAATTGAAAAAAATGACTAAATTGATTATCTAAACTAACATTAAAAGACAGCAACTCACTTATAAATCAATGCTTATTATACAATAGAAGAAATTATTATACTTAGATTAATGTATTCAACAAATTCCTTCGGGCCTTGCAGGCCCTCAGAAACTTTTTTCAAGCATTAATATAACCGTCGTATAATGATTTTCACTAGTGTATGATACACAACTCTACTAATTGCTTAATAATAATAACATATTGTTTTACGATAAAAAGCAAAACAAAGGGCAAAACATCATAGCATTGATAGCAATGATAACTACCACTTACATTTCAACATTTCTTTTAGCTGAGTCCTTCTCCAGAATCTGGAACAAATCTGAGCGCTCAAGTGGTCTCTTAATAGCTTTCATGAAATACTGCGTGCACCAAGAAAATGTAAGTATGGACAGGAAGAATGCATCACCAAATGGGCAGGGCAGCCTGATATAAAGTAACAGAAATTCATTTTAATTGAGTTTATCATATTATAATTCATCACACATCTTAACAGTTGGTAGTCCGTAAATAACAGGATCGAATATAGATGATTATAATTCATAATTTTAAAATAAAGTTCACATAAAAAAAAACACTAGAAATAAACAAAGAAATGCAACAGTCACTGAGAAAGGAAGAATTTAACAGAAAAACAATAATTGAACAAATAAAATAGTTAGGATTGATGTTAGAGCATGTCACACACAAAAACTAATATGAATGAATATTTTGTGTGTATAAAGAAGAGTGATTTGGCCCTCTAATTTACTTTATACTGAGGGACACATCACATTGGAATGCTTATCTGCTGAATAATGATGTATAAACATGTATGTAAAAGTCACAAATCATTAATCAGCATTAAACATTAAGGTTTAAAAAAAAAAACACCGCTTACTTTTCTTCTACAGCTTCTGGTAATGTTGTATACCCTTTGTTGGTGAAAGTGACCTCTGGTAAATGTTTACATTCTTCCTGCACCTCCTCCTCATTATCTTCTACTTGTCTATTCCCACAAGTGCTCTTTTCTACAAGATGTTCACCCATCTTGAACTAAAAGCAAAACAACCATTGCAAAGATACCTCACAAATTTAATTGGACATTTAATTCAATGGTAAATGTTTTACATACTCAAGGAGGTAATTTTTTATTTTTGTTAATTCACAAATATAGGCCTACTGTAGCAGGATGAATTCTACAGATGAAGGTTTTACATTAACGATAATAATTGCAAAACAAAAATCTTTTTGATTTACTCATATATATAAAGACAAGAAAGGAAAAAACATCTAGGCCCTACAGTTTGTCGTGCACAGTTTGATATTTAATAATATAATAATATTTATTTGGCAATCGTCAACAATTTTAGCCTGGAGTGAGAATAGGCACAGGCCCAAACAGATACTGCACTCACTTCACAACAATTTGCTAATTTTGCACAGTTTGTAAACTGTGCAAGGAGATCTTTGCATAACTTGAAAACCATACAAGACTCTGCAAAGCTTGCAAACTGTACTAGATCACAGATTTACAATGCATTGACAACTTGCACACTGTTGGGGGGTAGCTCGTACAAATTTTAATTTGATCTGCACATTTTGATAACTATATACCACCATACTATTCAATTTCTGTTGATGGGTGGCTGCATGACCAGCATGACGGGGCTTATCATCATGACGTACAATCTTACTCAATCAAATTACGCTAAAATCAGTGCAGTTAAAATCGATGTGGCAGTTACTTGAGCTTTCTGTTTAAGGCATCCCTGATAAAGCTTCCTCTATCTAATTGGATTTTCTTCCCAACTCGGTCGAGAATAGATGGAATTTTCCTGCCTCTTCTTTTCTGGTGTATCATGGAATGTGAGAATCTTTGTCAGGTCATCATTTTCTCTCTTTTTTTTTTTTTTTATCACATGACCAATCCAGTTTATGCTGTTTTATGTACACATATTCATCCGATGGTTGTGTGCTTGGATTTTCATAGAGGTACTCATTGGAAATCACGTAGCTCCAGTCAAAATTGCTTTCAATTCATTGACTTCTAATTCATCATCTGATGACATGTTGTCTTTATATGCTTGGGTGGGTTGACTCTTTGGAAGCCATTTTTAAACATTCAGTCTTCTAAAGAAAGTGTTATATGTAGCATTTATTCCTGACATTAAGATTAGGTCAATGCCTAATTTTCCCATTATTTTCTGAAATGCGTGGATGGATTTTTAACAACATTTTTGAGCGGAGGATATATTCTCCATGCAACCCTCACTTTATATCCTGGCTATAATCTAATAAAATAATAAGGCCCCATAAAAAAAATTATTAGTTTATCACCCCCGCGTGCATCACTTTTGGGAAAATCCCGATTTTTTTTTTTACATTATTTTTTTCATTTTAAACGATCATTTTTTCATTATTTTTTACTTGCAAAGGCTAGAGATTTACATCAAATAAATAACAAACTATTCACAGGCGATCTTTCTTATGTTGATGATGTAGCAGATGTAGAAAGAGGGTAAATAATTTCATTTATTTTCTATATACCTCACCTTGCCAGATGTATTTATGAATTCTCACTTTTCATATTTAGAAACTGTACTGTATTTTTGCAAAATGTGTTACTGGACAATAAAAACATGTTTTCTTTGTAAATTTGAGTCCGTTCTTGTGACTTTTTATGTGTTGGTCCTTACCAAGTGAACCAGTAAACGCCGATGAGACGGTTGGCAAAAAAAAAAAAAAAAAAACCTCCCTCCCTTATCAGTTTTTATGCTGGGGTAGGGTGATAAACTAATAATTTTTTTTACGATGCCTAATAAGTTAAATCTCAGTATCAATAGGCCTGTCATGCACAATTTGAGACGTATGCACAATTTGCAAAATGCGCAAGCTATTATTTGCACAATTTGCAAACTGTGCAAGGATTTCTTTGCACAATTTGAAAACTGTGCAAGATTCTGCAGTTTTAAAATGTGTGGACAATTTGTAAACTGTGAAAGGGTAGCTCATGTGCATTTTAATCTTGCACATTTTGATACTGATTCCACTGATACTGTAGGCCTAATTTTTTCTGTTTATGGCATGACGTTGAATAAAAATGTTGGCACATGTAAACTGGATAGGCATGGCCATGGATCATGTGTGGATGGGTGGGCAAAGATGGTGTGCCAGTGAGGTAGACCGGGTTGTGGGGGGGGGGGGAAGAGGAGCGTGTAGGGGAGCAGCGGTCTGATTTTTTAACTTGTGTATTTTTCATATAAATACATCGTAGGGCCTAGGTTAATTAGCAAAATAATCTGACTTTCTAAGGCCCTACTTTACTTATTCTTGTATTGTAAATGTGAACTTATCAATGGACAATCATTACGGTATAATTAATGTAAGTAATATTTGTATAGTATTACTATTGTTGAAAAAAAAATTATATTTACAGTAGTCTTATGTGTACTGTATGTACGTAGAAATGCAAATGAGAAGCCTTAAAGCCTTAAAGATGGTTTCAATGTACAGTACACCTTAGGTAACATGCCTAGCCTAGGCTATAGTTAGGAGGCATAGGCTACAGTAGGCCTAGACCAGATGAATCTGTAAAAAACTAAGGATTAGTTTAGGCCTAGGCCTATTAATATTAGTTTTTTAGTAGTGGTATATCTTTAATTTTAATAATTACCGACAGTGTCGAGTGTCCCACATACACATGGATAGACTATCTTTTATCATTGCAAATTTTCCAATCGATTAAAACATTGGAATTTCCATATATCTCCCAAAAAAATAAATTATGTTGAATCATAATCTAATAATAAGTTAATATGAATATCAGTTCATAAATAATCAATGTCACATTTTACCACAAATGCTCAAAGAATCCTTGCTCAGTTTGCATACAGTACTGCGTGCACAGTTTGAAACGACATAAGAAATATGTCAGCAACTCAAATTGAGCCAAAGGAACAAAATGCGCACAACAGCCTTAAATAAATTTAAACAGACCTACTGTAGGCCTACCTATAGTCACATTTTATGACAATTATTCAATTACTGAAAGAAACCTTCTTGCACAGTTTGCATACTGCGCACAGTTTGAAATGAGTTTTAAACATCCACTACTCAAAATGAGCAAAACAAAAAGCTCAAACTACGCACAACAAATACAAAAATAATACAGAATAACCATTTTTAGGCTAGGCCTCCTAGCTACCTAGCCTACAGTATAGCCTAGGTTAGGCCTAGCCTACGTCCTACAAAACCACGCCACGCCAACGGGTCGGGGCCTGGCTGGGCGGACAGGCCTTTCTTTCTTCAGTAAATCGGGAAAGCCTGACACATAGGCCTATGCCTATGTCTACATACGGACTATACAAACACCAAACATGCTGGCAGCAGGCACCTCCCCTGCCTAGGCTATAGGCCTAGGAAGTCCCAGCCTAGGCCCTGTCTGTAGGCCTAACCTAGTAAGTAGTATTCCTAGTAGGCCTAGTAGCCCAACAGGCGGGCCCGGCCCCTGGCTTTCGCGGTTGAAGTAGTAACAAAGTATAGTTACCTTAATATCCGTCACCTACCCTAGACAGTTAACTACTCCATGAGGTTATGGAAAACTTGAGCCAATGATGCCTGTAACTATAATAATTGTGCAATAATAAATTGGCCTACACATTGCACATCGTCTGAAGTGATTTCATCATTTTGTTTGATGCCGACCATCTAATTGATCTTGATCTAGCCTTCCTATCATCGGCGGCTCGTGTTCCGACCATCAACAGCGCCATCACTACGGTAGCCTGTAAGTGCCACCGCTAAATCGAAAATACAACCCTGTCCGTAGCTTTCTGTCTGCTGTCGTCTGGCCAATCAGACTCCTAGAAGTTTGGCTGAAACAAGATTTCTTTCTTTTCGGAGAGGACATGAAAATCTAAACTTTTATTTAAAATATCAATTGACAAATATTTTAAAATGATATTTAAATTATTATTCTAGCCATTTTTTTTGGTAATGTAGAGATGAGTTTTAAATTATTATAACTTAAATTTATGATTATATACTGAAACTAAGCGAATGGTTGACGTTTTTAATTGTGTTCTGGAGGATTTTATTACAATATTTATTTATTTTATTTAAAATAATCTCCAAGAGTCATTCTGCTGCCTGTAGTCCTAATTTCTTTTCCATTGCATATGATATTGTCCATGTCTCACTTTCGTAACTCAAGACAGTGTATACAGTTTATTAATCTTATTCTGGTTTTCATCGACAACTGGTTTATTACAGTATACGCACCTCCAAATAATCTCCAAGAGACATTCTGCTGCCTGTAGTCCTAATTTCTTTTCCATTGCATATGATATTGTCCATGTCTCACTTTCGTAACTCAAGACAGTGTATACAGTTTATTAATCTTATTCTGGTTTTCATCGACAACTGGTTTATTACAGTATACGCACCTCCACCGTTAAGTTTGCGTTTGCATTACCTTCTTTTATGTCGACGGCACCAGATCAGGTTTAACCAGATTTCGTCACCATGATTTGGCAGAAATATCAATTAGCTTAAATTCTTCTATCCAGGGGCGGCGCTAACAGGGGTCCATAGGCAAAGGACCCCCGTCGGGGACCTCTGGACCCCCGCTTGGATCGCCCTGTCGGGGAATTTCCAGCAGGGTCGTCGGGGAAAAATGAAATCTCGACCGCCGAAAGTACAATTTAGGTACGGTATGCTGTCAAATTTTAGGGATTAAAAACTGTTTACTGCGAGCAGTGCTACCGTATGTGTGAGGTGTTGTATACTATCGCGATCGTATGGGTTGTGGTCGTAGCGCCAGATCTTCCCCGACACGGGGCTGGTACTTAAGACAGGCGGTTAGTATCTCCGACAGGGGTCATATCACCTTGCATGGTTTTCTATCAAATTATCATTTTTAAATAAAGAATACCATAATCAACACAATTTTTCCCCGACCATGGGGGTCGGGAGTGCTAGGCTTCCCCGACCGGGGGGTAAACCATTGTCGGGGAGCTTGGACTCCTTTGTCGGGGAGCTGAACCCCTCGTCGGGGAATTCATGGTGCCGTCCCTGCTTCTATCTAGGATTTAAAGTAAACGCCTTATAATGTGTATAATATAAACCGTTTTTGATATTCAAACGTGCTTCAGGTCGCTCCGCTGTTCGTCGTTGAATAGATTATAAAGTGTGGTTTTTGTGTGTTGTTTTAAATGGAAGCCTTAATTAGGTTCGTGCTTTAAAGTGTGTCAGTTTTTTGAAATCACAATTTATGACGATATTCCTATTATAGTGGATATTTCGCTCCGTAATGTCTTTTATGAAGTAGGCTACCTGGTTGTAAAGAATATCAATACAACAGTGGCGTATCTAGAGGGTGCGCACGGCCCTCCAAAAATTACTACTTATTTATTTATTTACAAATGAACATTTAACATAACATGTCTAAAAGAGTGGGTAAATGATAAAAAGGACATTCATGGAACATGGAACTTGTAAAATGATTATCTAAAAAAAAAGCAATACCAAGGTCGCCCCCGAGAAATGTTCCAATAATTGTTGATGCACGAAAAAATGTGTTTCTGCGCTCAATGCGACTATCGCGCTTTCGGATGGAAACAGGATTTAAGCGATTTTAGGAATTAGTATTTGTTTACGCAGTTTTAAGTGTTTTGATTCGGTTGTTTAATAAAGGTCATATGGAGTTTAAATTCTGAAATATTTGCTTTAGGTTCCAATTACTATACATTGTTTTTAATATCTTTCACCTTTTTTCACTTTTACTGGTTTAATTTCTTATAAGGTGTCTTATTGTTTGTTTATGAGATTTTGTATTGATACATGCATTTTTTAAATTTTAAACTTCCATTTGTATTTTATTTCAAATTGCAATAAAGTGTTATTGTATTCGTATTCATAACAGAAGTAGATAGTTTATAAATTCAATCGCTTATATCAGGCTTATACCAAGCAGGTTCCACAGAATTTCTGAGGCCGACAAAATAATGTGAAGCTCGGCTATACTAAATATTTCCGCTAGGCCTATTAAGCGCCGACAAAATTTATCATAAGAAAGGTATTTTCATATAGTACCGTAGGCTTATCATAGGGAACATATGTAGTATATAACTTAAATACATGTTGTGGGAAAAAACACCTGTTGCGGCATGTAATAGAGCAATGCCTATGCTTCCAAGCTTAGTGATATTCAATGTTTCGAATACAGTAGTTAACATCCTTGACGAAAGTCTCTAATAAGACGAAAGTCATTATACGTTATACATCTTACAATGATAATATTAATAATTATAAAATAACTCATAGTAACAAAAATTCGCCATAGTGAACACAGCACTACGGGCCTTGGACGTCCCTGAAAGAGATGTTAATAAAAATGTTTATTTTAGCCTTCCTGCTGAATAGAAGCAGGTGAGCAGCGACGGAATTAAACCGGGGACCAAGGTTATTTTTACGTGTCTCTACGGCTTACACACAGGCTACCACCACAAAAAACAATTGATGAAGTGATTTTAAGTTAATAATTAAATTAAGGCAAAATATCGGTACCTTTAATCATAATCACATTCTAATCAATAGTTATATTATCAGTTATGACGTCATAAAGGCTCACCTTAATTTCAAAAATAATTATCAAATCCTTAGCCTTACAAATGTCACAGTTGGTTGAGGATATACAGTGGCTACAACATACTGTAAGATAGTTCAGCATTGAGTGTTCACGATTTATATTGTTTTCTGTTTTTTTATATTTTTAATTGCCATGTTCCTTTAGTTGTGTAGACAATAATATAATATTGTCAGTTATATACGTGCTTCATATTTTAGTACCATCAGTAATGGTTATTATAATATGCTAGTAGTATTAATATTAAGTATTAAATACGTATAAATACATATCATGATCATTCAATAATTTATCATCATCTCTGCCATGTCCAGGTAAGATGCAGTACATTCTTGTTGCGTGTACGATATTGGCTTTTGCATGTCACAGTTACGCCTGGAACAACGACTGGGATCAACCTCTTAACTTCCAATGTCCAAGTGGACAGGCAGTAAACCGTATCCAGTCCACTTATGATGGCAGCAAATATGACCGCCTTTTCCAATTCTATTGTAGGTAAGTTTGTCAAAGTTTTTGAATGCTTTTGTGGTTTAGTCGTGTGTTACGGTATGTGTTGTGGTGGAGTATAATTGTGCTACAATATAAACTTGTCAACTGTGGAACAGAGACTAAAACATCTTCGCATTAGTTTAATTGTTAAGAATCTGTATAATGTAAATTATTTTAACATGTTAGGAGTTTGATAAAGTCATATTGGAATTTGTAGGCAAAAGTTTGCTATTAAATTCTTTATGCATTTACTATTTATTATTTTCCTCGATTATGACAATATCTTACTTTAAGTTAAAATGACCATTCTTTATATTTCTGTTTCAAAAACGCACTTCACAACACCACTTGTTTTGTTTGTTTGTTTGTTTGTTTAATGGTTTTCTCCAACACTTCAAATGAGCATAACAATATTAAGGTGATAACAAGTGAAAATATAGTTATAGGA